CCAAGGGACTCTCCCAGAAGCTGCTCAGATCTGAAAAGTTACCACGAGAAAAGCTTTTACCTAAAATGCGTTCTGCTGCCCACCTGTGGGACGATGCAGAATAATTTAAAAAGAGATATTTTTTCCAATGCTTGGAATTTCTGCAGCTCCCAATAATCTTGATCTTCAGAATATAAGCCATCGTGTGTTGTGTGTGTGTGTGTGTGTGTGTGTGTGTGTGTGTGTGCATTTATTTAATGCCAGAGGACATAGCACAGGCCGGAGAGAGAGTAAGAGGCAGCCTCCCAGTGGGGTCTGGTCACGCCGCAATCCTTTCTCCTCCATGCACACACGTGTGCCCAGTATGTTTCTGAAGCCACAGGGGCCAGGTTGGAACAGCATCAGCTGTGGGGACCCAGCTCCCTCCACGGTGCATAACCCCTGCGTGACCGGGCTGCTTCTGTCTTCAATGGCCAAAGCAAAGCAGTTACCTGGAAGCCTTTCCTGTGGTGACAATCCTGAGACCGGGAACCGCAGTCAGAAGGGCTCTGTCCTGCTTGCACAATCTTGCCTGTGAGCGGGGCGGGCCGTGGACTTCGTGAGCACCCGGGTTTCTGCCCTAAGTCCACGGGTAAGCCACCTCTGAAGGCTGTCATGACACGTCAATGAGAAACACGAGTTCACACTTGGAAGCCCCACGCAGCCACTATTTTTCATGTAATTATCTACCAGGGAGTGTTTAAATCACCTCCCAGACGCTCGAGTGGGGGGGAACATGGAGTGTCTGATAGCCAAAAATTACCAAGGACGCTCCTGGGGGACGAGAGGAGTCAGGAGCCGTCAGCCAGGCCCGCCTCCGCAGTCCTTCCGAGGTCGGGGGTGAGGGGCCACTGCCAGGCCTCCCCTCATCACCGTGTTCTCGGACAGGTCACTGGACCTCTTGAAACTGTCCTGTTGCCTTCCCACCCGGGAAATGGGCTGATACTGTTGCTAATGAGGCGAGGTGAGGATCTAATGTAACAGTATCAAATGCCCAGTCCATTCGGGTCTGAATGCAGGATGAATTTTTTTTTTTTCATATGCTCACTAAAGAGAGACACAGAGAGAGAGAGAGTCAGGGAAAGTGGTAAATTACCCCCAAGGGGGTATGGCTATACCACAATCCCTTTTCCTCCATTCTCCTCTCAGGATTTTGGGCACATATGCATGATTTTCAAGCCACCAGGTTCGGGACTCAGCCAGCTACGTGGGATCCAGCCACCTTCAACCTCATGTCACCTTCTGGCCCACAAGATGGCTTTCTTAAAATTATTATTATTCATCATTGTTGTTACTATTTAATTTGACCAGAGAGAGTCAGAGAGAGGGAAAGTGAGAAAGCAAGCCACCAGGTCCAGGACTCGAGCTGCAGTCAGCCATGTGGGAGTCCAGCACCATAACCCCCACACCACCTGCCGGCCCTGGCTTTTTTTGTTTTTGTTTTTTTAAGAGAGAGATTTTGGAACAGGGTGCATGTACTCGCCAGAGAGACAGAGAGACAGAAAGTGAGAAATCACCCCCCAGGGGGGATGGCCACGCCATAATCCCTTCTCCTCCATTCTCCTCCTGGGACTTTGGGCACGCAAAAGCACCCGGCGTGACTACATTGGAGTCTAGCAACACAACCACTATGCCATCTGCTGGGCCCCGGCCCCGGCTTTTAAAAACATAACACACCCCATAAATTTGAATGTGTATAATCTGTCAGGGGTTGACATGTGTCCCTCCAAGTTCATACTGAAGTCCGAGTCCCCAAAGCCCTGCATGGGAGCCTACCTGGAGGCAGGGTCACTGCTGCTGTGATTAGCTAAGATGAGTCGTATTGGAGTAGGCTGGGCCCTGATCCAGGATACATGCGTCCTCGTAAACAGGCAACTTTGGACACAGACACACACAGAGAGCACCACGTGAGCAGGTAGGCAGAGGCCAGGGCACGCTTCCCCTCGCCACAGAACGGAGATTGCCAGGAGCCACCAGAAGCTGAGGAGAGGCCCGAACGCATCCTGCTAGGTGGTGGCACGGGCCAGGCAGACAGGAAATGCCCTGGGTGCCAAGTCCCCACCGAGCTTCCCCGGGAGATGCAGTGTCACGGGTGCTGCCACAGCTCACAGCTGGGGACATTGAGCACGTCCCGCGTGGTTCCACCTGGAGAGGACTCCGGAGCTCTCGCCTGGTTTCCTCTGAGCGCCACCCTGAGCCTTTCCCCGTTGAGTTCGCTTTGCTTCCCTTTGCCATCGTGAACCGCAGCCATCAGTGTCACTGTGCACGAGTCCTGCGAGTCCTCTGAGGGGTCTCAGAGCCTCTGACACACCACACAGCTCCCAACCCTGCCAGACGACAGAGAGGCTGGCGTGCTCCCACGTCGTAGCTGGAAACGCACCCACGGGCACCCCGCAATGCTGGAGGCCATTCCCATGTCCCTTTCCTCCGACTCAGTCACCCCACTCTGGGATCCCGTCCTGTGGCAACGATTGGGCAGAAGGGAACAGGCACAAAGATAGGCGTGTCAGGCGACGCTGACCCTGAAAACAAACTAAATGCCCAAGAACGGGAAAATCATTAAGTAATTCGTTACACATCCACTCCAAGAAACCAATTCAAATGGCAAGTCTGGGGACCTGAAGGTGGCATAACGGTTAAGTTGCTGGATTCCCACGTGGTGGACTGAGGTTCGAACCCTGGACCCAGCAGCTTAAAACTCAGGCTGGGCACATGTGTGTGCATGCTGAAGATCGCCAGAGGAGGATAGAGAAGTGATCGCAGCTACCCAGGGAGCGATCTTGCTTTGTCTCTCTGTCTTTCTCTCTCTCTGTCTCTTCAGCGAGCACACACGCACCCTATATCAAAAATCTCTCTCTAGGGAACCAGCAGTTAGCGTAATGGCTATGTCGCTGGACTCCCACGTAGTCGACCGCGGTTCGTGTCCCGGACCCGGTGGCTTAAAACTCACGCCGGGCGCGTGTGCGTGTGTGCCCAAGATCCCGAGAGGAGAATGGAGGAGAAGGGATTGCGGCGTGACCATTCCCCCTGGGGGGTGATTTCTCGCTTTCTGTCTCTATGTTTCTCTCTGTCTGTCTGGCGAGCGCATGCGCCCTATAGTGAAAAAAAAAAAAAAAGAAAAAACCTCTCCAAAAAAATCTCTCTCTAGAAAATAAATAAACAAAACGGCCAGTATAAAGACCGTGAAGATAAACATGAAAAGATGTTTCTGACCGTATTTTTGCACAGCCTCACAATGACGTGTGCGTTGACAGCAAAAACAGCAGCCAAGGGACAGCGATGACCGCGGTCCTCTTCATCTGCGGTTTTGCTCTGAGCGATCTCAGGTCCCTCGGTCAGCGAATCGGTGGGAACAGTGCCGCGGGACGTCTGAGAGGGCAGCCGCGTTCACTAAGCTTGACTACCGTGCGTGTCACCCCGGCTCTATTTACCAGTAGTCCCCGCTGCTAGTCTCTGCTGCGCCCGGTCGATGAGCTAAGCCTTATCACGAGCATCTACGTGCAGGGAAAAGCAGGTGCAGTTCCGTCCTGGCTGGATTTCAGGTGTCTCCCCACTGGGAAGGGGGGACTACCGCATCCAAAAGTGAAAAGTTGAGGGCCAACAGGTGGCATAGAGGTTAAGGCACTAGACTCCCACCTGGCCAACCACAGCTCAAGTCCCAGACCTGGCAGCTTGAAAATCACACTGGGTACATGAGTGCGAGTGCCCCAGACCCGGGAGAAGAGTAGAGGAGGAGGGATGGTGGTGTGGCTATCCCCTCGGAGGTTATTTCTCTCTCTCATCGTGGCCCTCTGTCTCCGGTGAGCTCACATGCTCTATAGCAAAAAAACTTTTTTTTTTTTTTTTTTTTTTAAAGGAAAAGGCTGCATGAGGAGGGCAGGGCAGATTTTTCTGTAGATAAGTTACCTCTAATGTGGCCGCCCTAAGGAACTAGGAAGCCTTCTGGGGACTTGGTAGAGCAGCAGACAAGGCCTGGACATGGTCCTGAATTATTTTGCTGTGGTCACCACCGCCTTCGCCCATGTAAAGCTCCGAGGTGCATGCCCCGGGGTAAGAACTGGAGCCTTACCCTAAGAAGGGCCTGTGGCTCTGCCATGGACAGGGAGCAGCGAGAGGCCTCGGAGAACAGGGAGCAGGGTGCCTGGGGCAGAAGCCATGGGGTATCTGGTAGGTGGCTGAGCCAGGCCAGAGGGGCTTTGAAGATGGCTGCCCTGGGCCAGAGCAAACCAGACTGGATGATGCCCAGACCTTGATGTGCACCCCAGGTGTGCCCTTGCGGCTCAGCAGCTCCAGGTGAGCTCTGCGGGTAGCCCTGGGGATCGTGGGCAGTCACCACTCTGCTGATGGCCTCGCGGGCTGGTCTGCACGTGGGCTGGGAAGGCCTCCTCGGGTGGGGGAGGGCTCCAGAAGCTGGGGCTTGCAGGAAGACCAGGTGAGTGAGGACAGCTCTCACTAATCCTGCCTCTCCTCTCTCATGAGTGCTGATCCGTCCGTGATCAGGACAGGAAGGTGGAGCAGACAGGACCGTCTGTGTTCGCTGGAGCATCCTCAGGGCGGCCCTTCCTGTGGGCCTCAGAGCAGCCACAAGGGGGCAGAACGGGACTATTATGTCCTTTCTGGTGCCCCGAGGGGCAGAGGCTGCCATGGTCGCTGGTCTATAGCCAGGATGGCTGGTCTGAACCCCTGCGTCCTGTCTGGGACCCCAGGAGTCTGGAGTTGTCCCCACCTCTCCCCTACACCATGGAGAGGCTACCTGCCTTAGGGGCTGCTGTGCTGGGGATGGCAACTGAGGAACTCTCTGCACCCCACCCTGGAGCTCAAGTTTCTCTCTCACACACACACACACACACACACACACACACACTCTCTCTCTCTCTCTCTCTCTCTCTCTCTCTCACACACACACACACACACACACACACACACACAGCTCCACCCCTTCCTGGGCCCGGGGATCTGCCTGTTCCCAGGGCAACGTCAACATAGGCAGGAGCTCAAATCACAGCTGGGCTCAGATGCTCTGGGCAGCCTGGAGGGGCCATCCCCACCTGCCGCCTGGAGTGAGGAAGACCCCACACAGGCCCCCAGGCGTCCTGTGAGAGGGCGGGCTCAGTCAGGGGGTCTCTCTCTGTCTCCCTCTCCCTCCCTGTCTCTCTGACACACTCACATTCATACACACTTGCACACCCATGGGGAGCCGCCCTGCCCAAGGGCTCCAGAGAACCACGTCGGCCGGGTACCGACTGCCCCCAGCCAGTCCACCAGCGGGTCCGTCTCCCCCCCCCCCCCAGCCAGTCCACCAGCTTCAGTCTCTATGGCTGCCACCCGTGGCCGCACAGTGGGCAGGGGTCTCCCTGGTGGCTGCCAGGACCCGAAGTCCCAGCAGGCGGTCCCCAGGGCTGGTGTGCAGCAGGACCAGCTCTGGAGGGAGCTCCTGGAAGCGGAAGGACGCTGCCGGCAGCGCTGGTGAGTCCCGCCCTGCCTCCTGGGCCAGCTTTGCTCAGCCAGACCCCAGCCCGACTTCAGGCCTGGAAGCTTCCGCACAAAGGGACTGGGTGGAGCAGTGAGCCAAACCAAGGGACAGAGTACAAGGGTAGGTGGGGAGGAGCAGGAGAGAGAGCCCAGCCAAGGCCAGGCCTGAGCACAGTGGGAGACGGGGACCAGATGGCATAATGGTTACAGCTGGGCTCCCACACGGCCAGCTGCGCTTCGAGTCCCAGACCCAGAAGCTTGAAACACGCCAGGCGTGTGTGTGTGCATGCCCAAAATCCTGAGAGGAGAATGGAGAAGGGATTGCAGCATGGCCCTCCCCCCACCAACGGTGACTTCTCGCTTTCTGTCTCTGCCTCCCTCTATCTCTCTGATGAGCACACATGCCCTATAGCAAAAATCTCTCTAAAAAAAACAATGTGGGAGAAAGGACCAGCAGATGGTGTTGTGGTTATATCCCCGGACTCCCACGTGGCCGACCATGGTTCGAGTCCTGGACCCGGTGCCTTGATACTCAACGCTGAGTCCAAATACAGACGTGTCCAAGATCCCAAGAGGAGAGTGAGGAGACGGGATTGCTGCGTGGCCATCTCCCCTGGGGAGTGACTTCTCACTTTCCTTCCCACTGCCTCTGTCTTTCTCTCTCCAGCAAGTGCACACACCCTAAGGCAAAAACTTCTACAGAAAACAAAAAAAAAAAAGAAGAAGAAGAAGAAAATGGGAGGAGAGGGTGGCCAGCAGGGAGCAATCCCCTAGGTCTTCAGAATAACCCCTCCAGCTTGCAGGGCAGACCAGAGGGGAGGCCAGTGGGAAGATGACTCAGGGCAGACTGAGAGAAGCTGGCCTCAACCCAGGGCATGGACACTTTTCTGGGCTCATTCGATCAACAGTACCCACAGCTGCCCAGTCATGTGCAACAGAGACCAGCAGGCCTCGTGGCTGCTCTGCAAAGCCTCCGTTCTCAAGTCAGGGCAGCCGAAGAGCAAGCCGAGAAACAGACCAGTGCCCGTCAGTGGGGTGTGGCCAGTGTCCGGAGGGAACAGCTGAGATGAAAGAGTGAGGGCCTTCTTTTTACAGGTACTCACGGAAGGGCTCTCAGAGGAGGTGACAGTTCAGCTGAGACCTGAATTAGGAGAAGGGACCAAGAAAGGGTCCGGCATATTTAAAAAGCAGACCAAGACCACGTGTGGCCGAGGCACCATCGGTGATGGAGCGGGGATGAGGATGAGAGGACGATGTAGGGGGAGCTGCCCACGCACCTGTAAAGGCCGCTTTGTGAGGAGATGCCACCGAGGGGGTTAAGCAACAGCATGGCGCGCTCTAGTTCACGTGGTAAGAAGGGCTGGTCCGTAGCCTAGTGACTGGCGGAGCTGGGTCCCTCATGGCCTACCGCGGTGCAAATCCTGGCCCCAGGGGCTTGAAGAACATGCTGGCCACATGTTCATGCCCAGAATCCTGACAAGATAAAGAATCAGAGAAGAAATTGCAGCATGACCAAGCTGACCCCACACTGGGGATGCTTTCTCCCGCTCTCTCCTTCTCTCTCTCTAGTTAGTGCATACTTCCACTGACAGTCAAAAAAATAAAAATACAAACGGGCTAGCAGATCCCTAGAACTTACTCTTTTAATTTTAAGAATCATTTATTTATTTATTTCCATTTGTTATTGTTATTATTTTTTTCTTTATTTGATGAGAGAGAGAGAGAAAGGAAAAGTGAGAAAGCAAGCCACCAGGTCCAGGACTTGAACCATGGTTGGTCATGTGGGAATCTAGAGGGGCTGGTCCGTAGCCTAGTGACTGGCGGAGCTGGGTCCCTCATGGCCTACCGCGGTGCAAATCCTGGCCCCAGGGGCTTGAAGAACATGCTGGCCACATGTTCATGCCCAGAATCCTGACAAGATAAAGAATCAGAGAAGAAATTGCAGCATGACCAAGCTGACCCCACACTGGGGATGCTTTCTCCCGCTCTCTCCTTCTCTCTCTCTAGTTAGTGCATACTTCCACTGACAGTCAAAAAAATAAAAATACAAACGGGCTAGCAGATCCCTAGAACTTACTCTTTTAATTTTAAGAATCATTTATTTATTTATTTCCATTTGTTATTGTTATTATTTTTTTCTTTATTTGATGAGAGAGAGAGAGAGAAAGGAAAAGTGAGAAAGCAAGCCACCAGGTCCAGGACTTGAACCATGGTTGGTCATGTGGGAATCTAGCGCCCTTATCCACCACACCACCTGGTGGCCCCCCTAGAACTTACTTACTGGTTTTGCCCGACTGAAACTTTGTGTGTATTGGTTAGCAGCTTCCCACTTCCGCTCCCCCAGGCCCTGCTAACCACCGTTCTCCTGTTTGCTTCCGGAGTCCGACTGCTTCCGGCGTCCCGGATCCGTGAAATCATTCCACGTTCTGTGCCTGCTTATGCAGTATGTCCTCAGGCTGTAGCACTTGGCAGAATTCCCTTCTTTTTAAGGCTGAATACTATTCCACTGTGTATGTATGCCACGTTTTCTTTACCCGTTCTTGTGTCTCTGGACGGTTAGTTTATTGGCACTCGTCGGCTATTGTAAATGACACAACAAGCAAGACAGTGCAGCTGTCTTCCTCATTTCAATTCTTTTGAATAAATCCTCAGGAATGGGATTTCTGGGTCATAGAGCACATAGCCATTACGCTGTTGGTCCCCTGGTCCCTATTTTTTGATTTTGAGGAATCTCCATACTGTTTTCCACAGAAGCTACGCCATTTCACATCCCAACAACGGTATTTCAGAGTTCCAATTTCTACGCAAGCTTCCCAACGTTAGTGGGTTGTATTTCGTGTTCGGCTTTTTAAAATTTTTCTTATTATTTTTCTTTTATAGTAGCCACCCTAACAGGTCTGAAGTGATGTCTCATTGTAGTTTCAATTTGCATTTCCCTGAGGGATAAAGATTTTTATCTTGTCGTGTACCTGTTAGCAATTTGTGTATCTTTTTAGAGAAATGTCTATTCAGATCTATGAACCACTTTTAAAAATTAGGGTATGTGGTTTTGTGCTAGTAAGTCATGGGATTTGTTTATATATTTTGGAAATTCACCCTATCAGATATATGACTGGCAAAGACATTCTCCCATTCCATGGTTGGCTTTTCATTCTATTGATTATTTGCACAGCAAAAGAAAATGGGGTTTGATCTTACCCAGTTTGTCCCTTTTTGCTGTTGTTGTCTGTAATTTAAGAATCATAGCCGAGAAATCATTGCCAAGACCAATATAGTACAGGTTCCTCCAGTATTTTTGAGTTGATTTTTATATAATAAAAAGGCCTAATTGCATTCATTTGCATGCAAAAATCTCTGTACAGTGGAGGAAATAGTTAATGGAGAGAAAAGGCACCTCCAGAATGGTAGAAGATATGTTTTCAAATTGAATAGAAATAGTAGGAGAGCTAAGGAGGAAGCAAAGGATGGCAGAGGCCTCTACCCCGGATACTGAATGGGGAGGAGAAGGCACACGATGAAGCTGCCAGGTTCTGCTGAGTGCCACATTCCTGAGCCACAGCCAGAGGGAGCTGCCCCGGGGGCACTTGAGTGAGTTAGGAGTTGGACACCGAGAACCCTATTCAGTCCAAAAGTGGGTTAGGGGTCCCCAGGAGTGGAAGGAAAGGAGAAGGGAAGTGACGGTTAGTGGATATGCATTTCTTTTGTAGAGTAATGAAAATATTCTAGACAGTCTTAGACGGTGGTTATGATTGCGCAACTCTGAGACTATACTAAAAAGCACTGAGTCAGGGCTGACAGGTGGTGTGGTGGTTAAGGCGCTGAACTCCCATATGGTCGACCGTGGTTCAAGTCCCAGACCTGTTGTCTTGCTTTCTCGCTTTCCCTTTCTTTCTCTCTCTCTCTCTCTCTGTCTCTTTCTGGTCAAGTTAAACAATAATAATGACAAATGGAATTAAATAAGTAAATAATTCTTTTAAAAAAAACCCACTGAATTATACACTTTCAAAAGGTAAATCCTGTATGAATTATATCTCAATTTTAAAAAGAAAAAGATGGCATAAATGAGCCTTCCTTGGAAGAGCACCGTGGGTGGGAAGAGATGAGGACCTAGGAAAGAACTTGCATTTACTGAAGAGCAGAGGACCTGCCAGGGATCAAGAAGGAGCAGCCAGAGAAGAAAGCCAGGAGGCCAAGGAGGCATAAAGACCAAGAGGAAAGAGTTTTGCAAGGCCGGGGAAGCCCTAGGAAGGATACCAAAGGCACTGCTCCCAATAGAAATATAATGGGATTAATTTCATTTAATTAATTTTCTCGTACCTACTTAAAATGTAATCAGAAGCTGATGAAGCTCAGTTTAATAACAGATTTTATTTAACCCTACATATACAATATATTATTTCCACATGTAGTCAACATAAAACAATTAAAGAGCTATTGGATCATCAGGGAAGTCATGGCTCATCTTTACATAAAAAAATATATCATGGGAACCAGCAGTTAGCGTAACGGCTATGTCGCTGGACTCCCACGTAGTCGACCGCGGTTCGTGTCCCGGACCCGGTGGCTTAAAACTCACACCAGGCACGTGTGCGTGCGTGCCCAAGATCCCGAGATGATTTCTCGCTTTCTGTCTCTATGTCTCTCTCTGTCTGTCTGGCGAGCGCATGCGCCCTATAGCGAAAACCTCTCCAAAAAAAAATCGTGACTTTCCAGATGACCTAATAGTTTACATTTTTCTTTGTACCAAGCCTTTGAAATAGGTCCATGTGGTCAGCCCCATTGCGCAGTGGTTAAGGGACCCAGATTTCACGTGGCCCACTGCATGGCTCTGGTAGCTTGAAGAGCACCCTGGGTGCATGTGTGTGCGTGCCCCAAATCCCAACACACTGGTAAAGAAAAGAAAGGGTCGAGGCGTGACCATACCCCCTTGGGGTGCACGCTCCTTGCCCTCTCTCTGTCTCTTTGGAGAATGCGTGTGTTCTCTGGCTAAAGTGTTTTAAAAATAGGTGAGTTTAAAGAACCTTGTAAAAATCCAAACATAGCAGTGCACAGGAGGCATATTATCTCAAAACAGGGAAGCAGAGGGCCTGAAGAAATGGCTGAGGCTGGCAAAGGCCAGACTCCAGGGCCTGGGGACCAAGGGCTCTGAGGGTGGGGGCAAAGAAGGCGGTCTTACTAGCAATCGTGAAAAATGGCTTGACTTTTTAAAAGCGATTCAAATGAAAACTAAACTCGCAGTGCAGACAATGCCATCCTCCTGCCCACCAGCCTTCCTCTCCCGTACTCACTGGAAGGTTACAAGAATTGGGGGCTGTGAAAACTGTTTGGTTTTTTTTCAAGTTTATTTGTTTCATGAGAGAGGGAGGCACCTCACTGGAGCCCCAAGCTGCAATGCTCCCCCAGTCTCAGCAGGCCCGATCACAGGTACACACTCCAGTATGCTCGGGGAGGACCCAGGACTCAAACCCAGGACCTTTCCCTCTTGGGAAGTCTGTAGCACTTGGTTCCCTTCCTGGTCTGTGATATCTTGTAGCATCGTTGCATCTAGGAAAAGCCCTAGGCCACTGAGATGCTCGTGCTTGTTACAGGAGACCCGGAACTGCCTCCGTGACACTCGCCACTCATGTCATTCAAATTCCTTAGCTCCCCCCTTTGATACTTTAGTCGCGTGGGCCTGTCACAGTGACAGCCATCTGTGAATGTCCCAGGAAGAACTCACCCTGCCGACACATTCTTCCTCCCCAGGGCTCAGAACTGGAGTTTCCTGAAAGACTACGACCCGATGGTAAGGCGCCAGGCACCAGATGCTCCTGTCACGCTTCCTTGCGGTCTGAGTGTCCACTTAGCCTGACCTCGTCCACCGACATGTTGAGGATCCACTTGTGAGAGGTGCCAGGATCCACAGAAATCAATAAAATGCAGGCTTGTTTCAAGAAACCTGGAGCAGGTGGGAAAGAAAATATTTACGTGGAGCATCTGCAACATTTCCCCCATGCTTCTTGGTGTTATTAAAATGAACTAACCTGAGGGACCAGAGAAGGCATAGTGGTTACGTCGCTGGACTCCCACTGGGTCTGAGTCCCGGACCTGGTGACTCGGGCAGGTGTGGGTGCGTGCCCGAGATCCCAGGAGGAGGATGGAGGAGGAGTTGTGCTGTGGCCCTCCCCGTGGGGAGTGATTTCTCACTTTCCCTCTCACTGTCTCTGTCTGTCTCTCTGGCAAGCGCATGTGCCCTAAGGCAAAAAGCTCTACCACAAAAGACAATACTAGGCGTCCCGCTGCGGAGGCGGCTCCCTGCCCAGGACAGACTCGGCCTCGGGCGGTAATAACCAGTGCAGTGGAGAACAGTTGGGGTGAAAACACTGTAAACTAACTCCTGCCTCTAGCATCCCCACCTCCAGTGCACCCTCTGCTTCGTCACCATAGGGATCCCCTAAGCTGACCATCCATAGCCCGTCTCCCCTCAGTTACAGCCCCTGTAAGTCAGGTTTCTGTGTGGCCTACGAAGCTTCCTGGATGTAACCCTGCCCACTGCCTCAGCCCCGTTCTCACTCCATCCGGATCAATTCTCTCTCTCTCTTTCTTTTCTTTTTTCTTTTTCTTTTTCTTTTTTTTTTTTTTTTTTTGAGAGTTTTTTGTTTTAAAGACAGAGAAAGACAGCGAGACAGAAAGCGAGAAATCACTCCCCAGCGGGGCCGGCCATGCCACAATCCCTTCTCCTCCATTCTCCTCTCGGGATCTTGAGCACGAATGCATACGTGCTTGGCGTGAGTTTAAGCCACCGAGTCCGGGACTCGAACCACTGTCAACTACGTGGGAGTCCAGCGACAAAGCCATTATGCTAACTGCTGGTCCCTCTTTTTCTTTTCTTTTTAATATGTTATTGGGCACGGATGCTTGCTGGAGAGAGACAGGCAGGCAGAGAGAGATAAAAAAATGAGAAGCACCTTCCGGGGGGATGACCACATTGCAATCCCTTAGCCTCCATTTCTCTTTTGGGATTTTGGGCACGCACACTCATACCCAGCATGATTTTCAAGCTGTCAGGTTCAGGACTCAAACCTCCCACTTGGCCATGTGGGATCCAGCTACCTTCACCACCACACTGCCACTGGCCCGCTCTCTTAGCTGTGCTTTGTACCTCCTGCACTCTGCCTGAGTGCCCTCCCACCTGCTCAGCCCACAGACTCCTGTTCGTTCATTTTTTTGAGTTTTTTGTTTGTTTGTTTGTTTGTTTTTGCCTTGGGGTATGTGGAAAAGCGCTGAGCACATGCCAAATCCCTAGAGGAAAATGGAGGAGAAGGGACTGTGGCCTGGCCATTCCCATGGGGGGGGTGATTTCTCACTTTTCCTCTACCTTTCTCCCTCTCTCTTCCTATCCATGGTGAATGCACATGTCCTGTAGCAAAAACAAACAAAACAAACAAAACAAAACAAAACAAAAGAACAGGCGGCCTTGGGGTGGAGATGGTGACTGGGGGGTTGACAGGAGGTGAGGAGAAGAGGAGACCGAGGGTGAGGGGGGACTGCAAAGGCTGGGTGGCCATGGTGGTCTTGGGAGGGGTCTCAGGTCCACACTGGGATCAAAGCACCTGGAGAACCCTTCAAATGGTGGCCCTCTGATCCCCTGGGCTGCTCTTTCTAAGCTGCCCCCTTGGGTCATGCAGGAGTGACCTGAACTGTCCCTCCCCAGGGCAACAGGAAGGACGCCGTGCGGCTGCCGGAGCATGTGCCCTTCTTTTCGGACACGGTCCCCAACTCCATGAACCAGGTCGTGGGCAGCAGGGTGGACACGCCCCTGGGCAGGGTGCTCAGCAGCATGGACTTCTTCTTCGTCGAGGGGACCCGGAAGAAGAGGCTGGACGACGAGCTGCAGCCCGTCTAGAGACCCGGAGGCCTGGGCCATGCTGGTGGGTGTGGAATGGCTGGCAGTGCCTGTGGGGCCCTGAGATCCTCCCTCCCTCCAAGCCCCAGGATGGCCATCAGAGGGCCGACTGGCTCGTTGTCGTGCAGGGTTAAGAGGACTCGAGTAATTGCCCTTCCAGCTCAGGAACCTGGGAAAGGGAGCCCAGCACCGTAGCCAGGGGCACTGCCTGCCTGGGCCAAGCCCTGTGCCCACTCCGGCCAGCTGTGTGACCTTGGGCAGGTGCTCGAACCCTCTGAGCCTCATCCGCCATTTGTCCCATGGCGTGTTCTTTCTTATGGCCACTGTAACAAGGGGCCACAACAGGAATGCGTCAGCCCTCACGGGGCCAAGGGTCACATGTCCCACGTCGTGTCACCGGTGTACACGGCTGGGCTCCCATAGGAGGCTCCAGGACAGAAGCAGTGACCTGTTCTCTGCCCCCTTCTGGAGGCCGCCTGCAATTCGCGTGTGCAGCTGCGTCCTCCGCCTTCAGAGGGGCATTCTTCTCTCCCTGCCTCCCCACCTCCTTCCCTCCTTTTGCCTCCTCCGCCATTTTTAAGACTCTCATGATTACAATAGGCCGCTCTGTACTTCAGAATAACCAGGAGGCAGTAATAGAGCCGAGCGTCTAGGCTTGTTGTGAGGATTAAATGAGTTAATGTGGCAGTTGCTGGGGCCGGCAGATGGCCTAATGGTTATGTCACTGGACTCCCACATATTCAGCCACGGTTCAAGTTCCAGACCCAGCAGCTTAAAACTCATGCCAGGTGTGTGTGCGTGCATGCCCAAAATCCCGAGAGAAGAATAGAGAAGAGATTGTGGTGTGGCCATTCCTTCTGGGGCGATTTCTCTCTGTCTGTCCGTGACTTCTCTCTGTCTGTTTCTCCAGTGAGCATGTGCACCCTATAGCAAAAATTTCTCTAAAAACATAAACAAAACAATAGGGCAATTGCTGAGAACAGAGGCTGGCCCTGGTGTGAGGATGTGTTCACACAGGACAGCTCTCTCTCGCTCTCTGTCTCTCTCTCTCAGCCCCTCAGTGTGGAGTTCCTGCCCTTCCTGCCTCGGGCCCCTGCGCCTGGGATTGCAGGTGCACACCACCTGATCCAGCCTTAGGTTAGACCGGGAATCAAACCTACTCAAACCTACTCAAGCCTCCATGAAGCCCTGGCCTGCCGGGCACAGCCTCTCAGCAGCCTGCGCCACCACAGCGAGCCAGACGCCCCTCTCTGAGGAGGGAGAGCTTTCCTGGAGAGACACGCAGCCTCTCCTGGGGCTGCCGAGAGGGTGGTGGTTAAGGGTGCTATGGTGGTTAAGGGTGCTGGACTTCCACATGGTCGACTATGGTTTGAGTCCCAGACCTGGCAGCTTGCTTTCTCACTTTCTCTCTCTCTGTCCCTCTCTGGTCAAATTTAAGTAAATAAATAAAATTAAATAAAATAATAATCATTTTTTTAAATAAAAAACTCTTAAAAAAAACAAAAGCTGCCGGTCCCTGGGAAGGGAGAACTGGTCTTCCCATCTCCCAGGGTGTCACCCCCTCCGCCACCAAGAATAGACATTGGTGCGGGCAGGAGTTACATGGCACACACCTTTTCCATGCGACAGCAAGCCTGCCTCGCTTCCCCGCCACGCCCGGCCCTGCGTGAGTGTGGCCTGGAGCAAACCAGGCTGGAGCCAGGTGGAGGCGGGGTTGCCTGTCCAACGTGGGAGCCCGTGGCTGGGCAGCGTCAGGGCTGGAACAGTCAGAGTCAGGGTCACATCACACGCCAGGGAAGCGCCGGGCCTCGGGCTGGGTGGGCGCAGAGACGGCTGCGGTGGCTCCTGAGGGGCCCCCGCTGCACTTTTGCCGTGGCTTGTCCATATTGGTTTTACACCCGGGGAAAACAGTGATTTCCGTTGGAGGGAGAGGGTGAGAGGAAAAGCTCTGAGAAGTCAGGGTTGCATGCGGCTGCAGGTCAGCGAGGGCTCCTCTCCCGGCCTGCAGGGTGGCAGGCAGGCCAGGGACCACTCATGGAGGCACGTCACAGGCCATGCAGCTGGTGAGCACGGCTTGCTTGCCACGTGGCCCAAACCGTCTTCCGCAGGTATTATAGTGCCTTTCGAGAGTTTGATAACTAAGTGGAGGACACCCGGTGGTGAGGAGCCAGGGTCACCGCAGTCTGCCTTCTCTGTGTGCGTTCTCCCTCCAGGCCTCAGTCTCTGCGGAGAGGACGGGAGGCACGTCCTGAGGTCCTCGCCAGCTCCAGAGTCTGTTCCCGAGCGTTCAGGGAGGGCTGAGTAACACAAGGTTCTGGTTCTTTCGCAGAGCGTGCCCGTCGGCCACCACCATGCAGAGTAATAAGCTACTGCATTCTCGCTCCCGGGTCTGCAGGTGGCCGGCTAATCTTGGCTGGCCATGGCTCTGGGTTGCAGCCTGGGCCGTGTCTTTCCTCCATGCCTCCTGTGCTCCTGGACTGAAACCTGTTGAGGCGTGTTCTTCCTGCGTTGTCTCACCAGAGTGCCCGGGCCCAACTGCACGGCGCAGGCGTGCTGCAGGCCTTTGCAAGCAGACCCCCTTTCCACGGCCTGCATCTCTCTGGTGTGCTTGTGGGAGACCTCTCCTCACAGCCAGCCCACCTCCTCACTCCCAGCCAGATCTGCCTTCTTTCCCATTTCCAACCTTCTTGGCTCACCTACTTGGAGTCAGGGAAATCGGGATTGAGGGGCATTTGCATAAAGACCTTGTGCCAGCCTCTCAGGTCACTTGGACCAGAACAAAAGGGGCCTCCATGCCCAACTGCAGAGTGGGCCCCAGCCTGCAGCATTTGCACTAGCAAAATAAAGGGCCGGCATTCCCAGTAAACAGAGCCCCTGGGCAGGAAGCTAGCAGGCTGGGAGGGGCTGGAATCAGGCACTGCAGGGCTTACAAAGCCTCACTTTCTGCCTCAGCTTCTCGGAGCCCTCTGCCCATTCTCCTCTCTTGGCAGAACCAGCTTCTCGACTGGAGCGTGGTACGGAATGAGCATCACCCACAGAATGCACAGGGGAGCCCACATCACTTCCCTGTGCGGGGAGTGAGGTCACACTCAGAAAATGATGTGGAAATGTTGAAGGGACACAAGGGGCTCCCGCCGGCCAGATGTGGGACGACGTGAGCATCAGAATGAAGGACAGTGATCACCCATCCCTGACACCAGCTGTGCCACCTCAGTCCCCACAAACCCCACTGAATATCAGGAATAATAAGAAGAATAACAAAACCATGCCACCATAGGGCATGTGCACTTGCCGGAGAGAGAAGGAGGGAGAAATAGCAAGAAGGAAAGTGAGAGATCACCCCCTACCTTCTCCTCCATGCTCTTCCTGGGATTTGGGGCATGCACTTACACGCCCAGCCTGATTGTCAAGTCACCACGTCTGAGACTCGAACCATAGTTGGCCATGTGGGAGTCCAGTGCCTTAACTACCATGCCACCTGCTGGCTCCATACCAATTTTATTATAAGCACTAAAGAAAAATGTTTTTTCTATTGAATAATACAGAATAAATGATAACAGAAAATCACCATTTTATGACCATCATGGTAATAATTTAGGCAAGAATCTATTAAAGACACTAAAACCATTGGGCAAAAGGTTCTCAGAGAACAGCCAATGCTGAAATCTAGAAGATACCTTTCTAGTCAAATAATTAAACTCACCAGTAATAGGGCAGCTGGCATGTGTGCACCAAGGAGGACACCACCTCCTCACTGAGAGAGCACGCTTACCAAAAACAGAGTACCCTGAGTGTGACCAGGAGGAAACTCCAGCCAGAGCCGGCTGTCAGTGAGCCTTGACACTCCCAAAATGTCAGTGTCATCAAATACAGAGGGCAGCTGAATAAGACACAGAGCATGACCTTTGACCGGCTCCCAGGTCAAAGCAAACGCAGTGATAAAGGACCCCCTGGGCCCAGCCTCTGGTGCACTCAGCGGTGTGCTGGACTGTGAAGCAGGAAGCCAGCTGCTGACTGCAGTCTCAGTCCCTGTCTGGGCAGCCTGAGAGCATCTTGGGTGTGTGTGTACACCCAGGGGTCCGGCGGGCTGGGGGACTGGAGGAAGGGGGTCTGGACGGAACCAAGCCCAGTGGAGGCTGCTTCTCTCTCTCTGGTGCATAGGTATGCACGCCATCGTGAATGGGGAGAAAAAGATACTTTGCAGACTAAATAGCAGCTAATGGACTAAGTTTCAGATGACAGACTAAATATCACTAATCCACGCGCAGGTGCAGAGTGTGGTGTGGAAGGATGCCCTTGCTCCTCAGAGATGCACATGTGAAGTGGGCGGTAAAGTTCCTTGATGTCGGGAACAAACTTGCAAATGGCTGAACAAAACTGCGTCTGGGGTGAAACAAAGCAAATGCAGATACAGAGGCCAACAATTGCTCCATCTAGCGATTCTTGCAACCTTTCTGTAAATCTAGGAATTAAAAAAATGCAAACAAAACTTTAAGGTGGGGCACAGGCCCTCACTGATGGCTCCTGAGTTCTGTCTCCTCCATTGAGAACATCAGGGATAGTGGGGCCAGGAACCCTCAGTTCTGAGACCCCCAGGAAGGGGCTCGTTGGCCAGCTCAGCTGGGAACTGACCCATTCCATTCAGCCTTGGCCAAGCAGAGGAGCCAGGCTCCTGCAGCAGGCCGTGGCCAGTGTGACTCTGCAGATGGGGAGGGGTGCTGTCTGGAACTAGGTGCGCCTGCACCCAACTGCTGGTGCCGGAAAAACAGGGTTTTTAAAAGAAAAATGAAGAGACCAGCAGTTGGCACAATGGCTATGTCGCTAGACTCCCATGTAGTTGACCGTAGTTCGAGTCCCGGACCCAGTGGCTTAAACTCACACTGGGCGCGTGCGTGTGCACGTCCAAGATCTCAAGAGGAGAATGGAGGAGAAGGGATTGCGGCGTGGCCATCCCCCCTGAGGAGTGATTTCTCACTTTCTGTCTCTCTGTCTCTCTCTATCTTTCTGGCACGCACATGCGCCTTATAGCAAAAACCTCTCCAAAAAAAAATATTAAAAAAAGAGAAACGAAGAATGATTATGTAAGGTGTTTGGGTACAATTATCCTTGGCTACCAGGATCAATTACAAGGTGGCATTGGTCCCAGGTTGGCCAGGTGTTAAATCCAAGCTTAGACAGTTTCTGGGCAGAAGTCCTTGCAGAAGGAGCCCCTGTGGCAGGTTGAAGGGCAACCTGCTCTTTGTGCAAAGCGGTTCTAGCATTCTAGAGTGGGAGCCGCCCTTCCCACGGCCTTCCCTGGCTCGGTATAGTCAGGGTTTAACACAATCTCTTGTACAGTGTGGAGAGCGGGACCTTCAAGTGGTTAGGTCAGGAGGGGCTCTGTCCTGATTCCTGGATTAATACTATTATTGCAATCGTGGGCTTGTTTCACAGAGCTGAATTCCTGGTAAAAGGACACCCACCCCGTCTGCCCGTGCTCACACTCTTGGGATGATGCAGCAGGAAGTCTCTGCTAGGTTCCAGCCTCTCACCTCGAACTTCCTGGGGTCCAGAACCGTTAAGAAACAAATCTCTTCTTTATAGATTGCTCAGTCATGGGATTTCTGTTAGTACAGCACAAAATGGATTAAGATAAATAGGGATTGTTTTCCTTATTTAAAAAATAAAGATCCCAGGTGCAAGGAGGTTACGTGTTTGTCCAGGATCACGTGGCCTGCGAGGCAAGTGCTGGGAGGATAGCGAGTCTGCCTAATGCTGAGAACCACACTCCACAGCCGGGGTGCAGGGAGGGGCCCTCGGAGCCAGGCAGAGACCTCTTCCTGCAACCGTGCCTCACCCAGTTGACCTCCAGAGCATGTGGGTTCAGGGAGTTCTGTCCTCGGCCAGGGTCAGCATTTGCTCCACCCTAGAGAAGGTGGACTCCCTAGGTGAACCGCACCTTACAATAGTCCCTCCTGCTGGGAGCACACCTGAAAAGTGGGGAAGGCTGAGCCCCAGGCAAGAGTGACTCTCTCCTACCACCAGTCCTGGGAGTCCAGATCCTGGCCATGCCGTAGAATAAAGTGCAAGGTGCAGGCAGAACGGGTGAAGGGAGGAGGGGGAGCCACTGCCACATGGCAGGACCAGACACTTCAACTTGGACCACCTCTCTGCTTCCGGAGATATGTCCTGTGACCGTGAGAGTAAGACACCTGCACACTGAGGCTACTCAGCAGATTCCAGACGATCCCATGTTATCATTGCTGCTGCTAAATCTTATTATTATTTTAATTGCCAGAGGGCATGTGTGCTTGACAGAGAGAGAGTCTGAGAGAATCTCTCAACCCCTTTCCCTCCACTGCTCCATCCTGTTCCGATCTGGGGCAATCACACACAAGTGCCACACATGTTTTTCAAGCAGCTGGGGCTGGATCAGACCTGGCCCGGCCACGTGGGAGCCCATGCATGGTGCTCAACCCCTAGCTAGGGGGGCAGGCCCAGAGTCTCGGACACTTGAAGGAAAGCTCGGGACCTCCTGGTTCTCTTTTTCTCAAGAGCAGTAACTCTCCTCTGATGAGCAATCCAGCCCGGCAGGGCAGGCACCGCTTCCTTAAAGGACGTCCTTCTAGGCGTCCTGGTTTAGACTTGAGAGGGAGGACTCAGAATCTGCTGGTTTTTTGTTTTGTTTTAGTTTTTTTTTTTTTTTTTTTTTTCATAGAAGTGGGTGATGTCTCAAGAGGGCTGGGGGAGCAGGGAGGGGAGGGCAGCGCTGAGAGGGCGAGGCCCTCCCAGGCCACCCCAAGCCCGGCTCTAAGGCTGAACAAGCAAGCAGCAATGATTCGGGCCGAACTGCACTGAACCTCTGGCACTGCATTTTGTGATGTTTTTCCAGCTTTGCAGTCTGACTCCAATACGTAAGGAAGTCCAGAGGCTGAAAGACGCACCCTCTCCCTCCTCTCGTCTGGTCTCAGAAGGCCGCGTCCATGGACCCCCTTATATCAATAGAATTCTATTTTATCTTCTCAAGGAAAATGTTCACCCCACATGCTGAACTGTAGGGCTGGGAGCCCTCCGAGTGTAAGGACCGCGCCCAGCAAGCTGACACCAGGGCAGTTTGGCTCCGGAAAGGGACGACACAAGGATCTGGCCCCACTGGCCGCGGCGAGCCCCGGAGCCTCTGCAGACCTGGTTCCCATCAATAAAGTGAGGGGGCGCACAGACGGGCGGATCGTCCAGGGGCTGAACAGCTTGATGTC